TACGAGAGGCTGAAGCAGGCGCCACGAGGGGGCGCCGCGCTCAACCCCAAGAGCAAGTAAGGCGGCGCCGTCCCAGAGCGGCAGCTGGGGAGGGGCGCCCGGGTAACGCTAGGTGGTGCAGAGGCAAGTCGGGGCTTCGACCCGGAGACGAGGGTTTATCTTGTAGTGTCTCGTACGTCGTTTGTGAAACCAGCCACGAGTCCATGACTGACCAAATCCCAAGTTGTGAATCACATCGTCTTTACTTAAACTATCTTTACATCTTAGCAAACATCATGGACTGCTGTCAGTAGAGTCTGACTCCGAGTCCCACAGAGTCCAGTCACAGTAAATCTCCAGCAGTTCCTGGTCTGTCCAGCAGGGGTCGTTCCTGACGAAGAAGCAGGACCAGGCGGCCAGGAAGATCATGAGGTTCCTGCGGCGCTGCAGACACAGGTCAGGCACAGGAAATGACCTCATCACCGTCCTCATGATGTCACTTCCTTTAACAGCTGCTGCTGTGTCTGCAGGATCAAAGAGCTGAAGCAGAGCAGGGAGCTGGAGCGGAGAGGACTGACCACGTAGAGGAGGACAGGAGGACGACAGGAGGAGGACAAAAGGAGGACAGGAGGAGGACAGGAGGAGGACGAGAGGAGGACGGGAGGAGGACAGGAGGAGGACGGGAGGAGGACAGGAGGAGGACGGGAGGATAGGAGGAGGACAGACGTCCCTCAGCGTCTCCGGGACTCCGTCTGGTTCTAGACCCGGTCTTTGTGGACCGCTGCACGTTGGAACGGCGCCTGACAGACGCAGCGCAGGGCACATCTGGCCCTTTGACTCTGCTGGCGCTGCTCTGAAGTACTGACCTTTGACCTTTCAGACAAATCACAGCTTCTATTTAAACACACAATAGAGAGTAGAGACGCTTCTATTTATTACAGCATGAACTGTGTGTGTGTGTGTGTGTGTGTGTGTGTGTGTGTGTGTGTGTGTGTGTGTGTGTGTGTGTGTGTGTGTGTGTTTTGCACTGACTGAAGTCTAACCTTTATCCACCGACTGCTTTTGTAAATCCAGCTGCCAGTCAGAGACTGAAGGAAGCAGCGTTTGGACCAGAACCAGGCCCTGGTTCTGGTTCTGCTCAGTCCGGCCTGCAGCCTTCAGGTTCTGCTCTTCACCTGTTGCAGTGAATCTTTGCACGACTTCCTGTTTCCTGGTTGTTCTGAAACAAGACGTGAAGTTCTGACAATAAATCAGCTGATTGCTCCTCTAGTCTGATTGGTTCCTGCTCCAACAGAACCTCTGACCAGCAGAACCTCTGACCCGTCTGAGGTTCTCTCCGCCATCTTTTGGTTTCTGGTCTGTTTTTTTTTTTTTTTGTTGTTGCATATTTTGCTTCTTTGGCCCGGACTCGTCTGCAGGGCTGGAGAACAGAACCTGAAACTGGGCCCGGTCGGGTCCGAGACTCGGGTCCAAGAAAAGTCAGAACTACAAAGTGAGTAACAGTTAGTTTGTTCCAGGAAATAAACCGTAATGGATCCATAAAGGGTTAAAGTCGTCCTCCTTCTGCTGCTGCTGGTTTCTGGTCCCATGGATTCACTTCCTGCTGGATTCCAGATGAACTGATTCCCAGTGGGAATCAGTTCATCTGCAGTGGATTCACATCGTCTTTACAGTTCAGCTTCAGCTGAATCTGTTCCTCCAATCAGAATCAAGCTTCTCCTCTATGTTGATGATATTTTAGTTCCACCAGAAACACAAACTGCTCTGAAGTGAAGCTAACAGTTTAGCAACGGTCCGTCTTCAGTCACTGACTCACTGGAAAACAAGAGCAGGACATCTGGGACGGTCATGAAGGGAATCGAACCGACGCCTCCTGTCCTGGGACCGGGGGGTGAAGCAGGGAAGATGGCGGAAAGACAGACAGGAAGTAGAAATATTCTTTGGTTTTCCTTTCCTGTTTTCTGTTGGTCGTTCCTCCAGATAAAAGCTCAGAATGTGGCAGGAGAACCATAACCACACACACACACACACACACACACACACACACACACACACACACACCCTGACCCCCCACTGGTTCATGTACTGAATCAGTTCCTCTGTGAATGAATCACCTAAAGGTTTTAGTTCTCCTGTCAGGAGGTCTTGAGCTTCAGTTTTATCTCCAGCAGTTTTCAGGATGAAGGTCCAGAGGACTACAGCTCCCATCATGCACCTGGTTTCATAAATACATACGTGTTGCTGCTGCTCAATGACCCAATAATAATTTTGCTTAATCTTCTGCTTCACCATGCAGACACTCGGTCTGTGCCAGGGAAGGTTCACTCACCTCAGGATGCTAAACTCTTCAACTGATGATGGAGCCTCTGACTGTTTCAGAATTACTCAGCCAGCAGGGGGCGCTCTACAGAGGCCTGGTTCTGCTGAAGGTTCTGATGGAAATAACCCAGATGATGATGTCACAGTCACGTGACGCAGTAGGACACGCCTTCATCCCAACACACACACCACACAGAAGACGGGAACATGATAAATGGCCTATTCCAAGGCCAGTAAGAGGAGACAGAAGCTCCAGACTCAGACTGGATTAAAACGTCTTTATTTGACACATGAACAGGAACCAACTGGAAACGGGGAGAAGCTGGTCAAACTGTTAAAACCCACTGGACAAAGGGACGGACGGGTCGGGTCCAGCATTGGGCTCATTCTGCTCGCGGCCAGCAGGGGGCAGCAGGCGGCGGCTCAGCTGCGCTGGCTGTGTCTCTGGCAGACGTAGCGCAGCCTGGTGGAGCAGTGCAGGTCGTTGAGCCGCCCGTCGCTGTGGATGTGGGCGCAGTCCTCTCCGGGTCCCAGACCGTGACCGGTCCAACTGTCGGGCTGGCCGGGTTTCCATCGCCTGGACGGCAAAGAGACGCATCAGCTGATCCACATCCGGTTACCAACTATTTTAGTTACTTTCAGCAGCTGCTAACAACAACAACAATGCTCCTGTGTGTTAATATTGATCCCTTTGATCTTTGCCAAAACTTAACTAAGTTATTTCATGATGCAGCATCATCAAATAGTTTAGGGTCTAACCTATTTGTGTTACTAACCAGCAGGAGATTTCATGTTGTTTTAGCTTCTATTGTCTGGAAAACTAAACAGGATGTTAAACTCCAGGTTGTACCTGCGGTTCATGACGTACGGCGTCTGGTTGACCCACTCCCACCTCCCGGACTTCTCGTCCGTCAGACCGACCCAGTAGAACGACCCGGCAGCGAGACGGGTCACAAAGTCCTGGACCGACGAGAGACGCGTTCAGAAAACGGATTCATCCACCAGCTCCGCTCTGTCCTCAGGAGGTCCAAACTCCGGACGGCTTGTCTCACCCATTCCTCGTCGCTCATCAGGATGACCAGGTGAGACTCGTGGCCGTTACACCAATCCCTGGCTTCGTGCCAAGACAGAGCCGACCTGCTGAACAGGTAACAGCTGGACCTGAACGTCTCCCAACCCAGAGGACAGCAGCCGTCAGGGACGGAACCAGAACCTGGGACAGAGAGGACAGAGAGGACAGGGTCCATCAGAACCAGAACCTGGGACAGAGAGGACAGAGTCCATCAGAGCGTCATCAGTCCCAGTTTGACCAGTAGGACTGACCGTTGTTGATGAAGCGCTCCATGGAACATTTCAGGTTGGCCACCGTCCTGCTGATGGTGTCCAGGGTGGACAGCTGCTTCAGGGCTTCAGACACTGGAGGCAGGGTCAGAGGTCAGGGGTCAGCAGGCGTTTCCAGGTGTCTGGTTCTGAGTCTGGGGTTACCTGAGGTCAGCTGCTCCTTGTTGCTCTCCACAGAGAACTTGAGCCTCTGAGCGTCTTTAGCTGCGTCTGCGTTGGACAGCAGAGTCAGGAGGACAGAGACGGGTCGGGGTTACCTGGACAGGTGCGCTACCTTCAGCGAGCCGCTGGGCGGACATCAGCCACTCCGTCTGGTTGGACAACGCTTTCTCCACGGACCAGAGCCGGCTCAGCGTCCTGGTGTCTGCAGACAGTCATGAGGAACCTGAGAACCACAGGGAGGAGGCGGAGCTACAAGACCTGCACCTGCTTCTACCTGCCAGGTGTTCCTTCACCTCATTGGCTCTACCTGCCAGGTGTTCCTTCACCTCATTGGCTCTACCTGCCAGGTTGTTGCTCAGTTCTCACAGAGCTCAGGTTCTCTGACCATCTCTCTAGTTGTTGTAGCCTAGCCCTGCGTTAGCCGTGCTGTGTAGCGTCCTTCTGCTGCTAGCTTCCTGTTAGCCTGACTGAAACCTTGCTGACCTCCAGGTCCGACCCTACAGAGGACACTTCCTGCCTCCAGACCGGTTCTGCCAATGGACTCTGGTCCAATAAGAGTCTCTGAGTTTCAGAAGCTTCAGAGCATAAACCCCATGATTCCTCCAGAAGCATCAGGACAGCAAGAGCAGAGGACGCTCTCCCTCTCGTCTCCTGGACGCACCGGGAGGACAAGACGTCCACCGGGAGCTGATGGGACACGGGGACGTACTCACTCACTGGTGACTCCAAACGCAACGATGAAAATCAGGACGAAGGCGGCGGCCAGGCCGGGGTACAGCCAGCGCCGCACCCTGGACACCGGCGAGAAGGAGACGGACCGCGGCTCTGATGGACAGAGGGACAGGTTAGGGCGCGGCGGACCCGGTTCTGGCCCGGTTCTGGCCCGGCTCAGACTCCACAGCAGTACCTTTGTTCCAGAACGAGCTGCTGTCGTCCTCAACCTCGTCGTGGTACTCGGTCGTCATGATGTCTGTCCTCGTCTCCGTCCAACGCTGAGCTGCAGGTCAACGACCACAGAGTGACCTTTGGACTGGAAAACACTGCTGTGTGTGTGTGTGTGTGTGTGTGTGTGTGTGTGTGTGTGTGTGTGTGTGTGTGTGTGTGTGTGTGTGTGTGTGTGTGTGTGTGTGTGCGGTGAAACATCAGAGGCTGCTGGGAAAACTGACTAAAACAAACAGAAAGAGGAGACTGAGAGGAGCTGAAGTTTCCAGATGTTCCTTTAATGCCACATCATCATCATCATCATCATCATCTGGTGTCAGAGTCTCTAACTGGTCCGGTCCGGTGAAGTCCGGTCAGGTCTGCTGTGCCTTCATGGCGGCGGGTTGTGGGCGGAGCCTGAGTCCAGGTGTGTTCA